GTTACTCGAAAACACAACCGTACTGCACGGGGTCCGGAGGGAAGAGCTATATTATTGTTCATCAGTATCCAACTGTAATGTCATTTGTCGAAAAGAGCAGCGTGTTCTCTCAACGCACAACTCTTGATAAGATAACTTTCTCCTTCATATCGTAAGTGTCATCTTATCGTAAGGGTTTAATTACTTCGTTTGCAGTGGCCTGATTTACCGCTCGCTTAATTTAAAAGTGTTGATTTAAGCGACGCGAAAGACTCTCTCAGAAGCAAGTCTTAAAGATGAAGATTATAAATAAACCCTTTAAAGCTTAAATGTATCGGAAATGAAACGTTTAATCTAGAAACGCTATCTTTGATCGCCAATTAACTATGACATTGAAGCAAAAGACTATCATTTTACGTCGTACAATAATAATCAGGCCATTTAAATTCCATCACCGCGTAGGTACACATGTAATGAGTTCTAACTGTCCGGTTCCCGCTTAGGAGTCGAATTATATCATTATCCTCGCGAGAATAACTTCAAGGATCGTTAGAACGCAAATCGATTTCCATGCACGGTGCGACGACAACTCTCGGTCCGCATGCATAACTCATATATCAACAATGTGTCCGAGCCAATCAAAACAGAATTAACATTCCTCATTCTTGTTGCAGACCTCGCCGCGTTACGACAACTACTGGAGAGCGAGTCAGGGGGAACAACTTGTCCGAGTTGTAACATGCCCTTTGACAAAGGCAAGAAGAGGAAGCTGATAGACACATGTGGACATGAACGCTGTTACTCCTGCATGTTCAGGAACGAAGCGTGCCCCATATGCGCCAGAAACAGTCAGGGACGGCGACCAGTGATGGAGCGCTACACGCCGTCTCCTCAGCAAGACCAGGACTGGCAGTCTCCAATGCGCCTTCCCAAGCCACCGAAGCCCGCCACATTGGCCCAAAGCTGTCCAACGCCACCACACACGAGAAGAAGATTTTTCCCTAGCCCAAAATCTCTTCGAAGTCCTTTCGGGCAGCGGTCCAGCCGTCGTTCACACGAGAACCACGTGCCACTATCTGGTAAGTAGCTTAATCGCACGCCATCACGAAATTTGCATATCTGTGGGCCCGCGCGTGGTAGCGCATTTGCATCATTGCGCAAGCGTCGCCTACAGCGTACGCAGCTTTACCTCCATTGATGCCTTCTTCGGAGTCTCATTCATAAGCAGACCGTTGTTCGCCCTCACTTTCCTGCTCTTTTATGAGGTTTTCGAGTTGGAAAGAGTCGATCGTAAATAATGGTGAGTGACAGTTGCAACATTCAGCACCCACGCCTGTACGCCGGATGTACGTAGGTTCTGTGGCGAACCAGTCTAGTGCATTTATTAGTATAGGCTAGACTTTTGCAATGGCTGCGCAGACATGCCGGCTGCGGACATTATCTCGGAATCTGTTACTTTATTTCCATTAATTACATCGGCTAGGTTTCTGACCGGATTGAAATATTCAGTGCGTTAATTCACAGCTGTTTCTTAATAAACTATTAGTTTCAATTCGCCTCGGCCCTTGCCCTTTTGTGGTTGATTATTAAACTGTCTTTGAGCCGTAACATTTCTATCTGTTACTTTGAATAACATTGTTTGAGTTATTTGCTACAGTTTGCAAATAGCACTTTGTTAATTACATCGAGCGCGATATTAAACATAATGGATTCGATTATCATATCTATTTGTATCGACTTACTGTTGTTATGTGTCAAACTTGACCCTTATACTGTTTCTAAAATTAGTTTGTTTAAAATTACTTCAAGGATTAGCTTTATGGTAGTTTATGTAACCTAAACAGTGTCAGTAAATGTAATTTCCTCAAAGAATCCTAGTGCAATGATGAAGATGGTATCCTGTGGAATAGTTTCATTGTCATTTTCATCAACCCTGCAGGACTCCCAGAGGAGGGTCCAAGGAGCGCAGCGTGGCCGAGCCTGGTCTTCAATAAGATCAGGTCCCTCTGGACCTCCCACTCGTCCCTCCCACAGGGCCTCAACCAGTTAACAGGCAGGACTACGTTCTATTTTTACATGGAATGTGGACTTTATAACGATTGCAACAAAACACCTTTTCAGAAAATCATTGAATATTTTAATAAAAATAACTTCGTATAAATTAATAAATTGCAAGTTGATTAGTTTATTAAGATTGATAATTTATAGTTTTATTATAGCCTCGTTTTCGTATAAGAAACAGTAATTTAAACTTATGCCGATATCTGCATATTTAAAGCCACACAATACAAATTTATTATCTATATAGACTATATTTTGATCTCAACTTCATAGTAATAAAGTAAAAAATTCGCCACTCCTTTTACGCGCGCGAACATAAATCAATCTCATTAAATTCATATCACGAAAATCTTAGAAATTTCATAGTAAATTAATCGGCTACCGAATATTGAATAAATTAGTTTAAATCGATTTCCAAATAAACACATCGGTATTCGGTCCACATTCCAATGAGCAGAGCAGACGAGTGGATGCCTTGTTTTTTGCACCTTTTTGCATTTGCATACGGCGGTATAGCCCTGGCAGTTAAAGGCACAGCTTCGGACCGGTTATTTTGTTCCTTCTGCATTCTGTGTGGTTTGCGTTTGATTTTCTAAAGCACGTTTCACACGTAAAAGACGTAGACGCAGCAAGGGAGTTTTGTTATATTCAACTCTACTTCGTTGCATCTAGCGCTAGACACTTTGCTGCGACTACGTTAAATGTTTGTGATAGAAACTTTCTTCTTTATTTTCATTATTTTATGCTATATTGTGATTTTGTCACTGTACATACAAGGTATTGGCATTTGCGTATTTATCTAAAAATAAACAACATAACGATATTATTTTACACCTGCTTACGTACTAAATATTAATATTATTAAGTAGGTGAGATTTTCAATTGACAGTCAAAGATTCCGTCTACAATTACGTTTTATATTCAAAATACATTTTTTAAGTGTTTTATTGAATGTCAGGATTTTTAACCACCATGATATTCAATCATTTTTTTGTGAAATTACTCCACTAGTTTGATAAGATTATTAATACAAAAATCGAACATTTAGAAAAAAATCCTTTGATCTGGCCGGATTTGAACCAACGTCTTCTAGCACACCTTGCCAAACTCTATGACAACTAAGCCACGGAACGAACCAGCTGACCTCACGGATTCTTCTATGTGCTTGTTGCCGAATCTTTGTATGTGGTTATTAACGACTTTTATATATATTTTTTAATTTATTTATATTGATTCTTTATCACAAAACCATATCAGATGAAAAAAAAATCATATTAGTCACGTGGTAGTAATCTACAATCAATGTTTAAGGGTTTTTGAATTACAAATGAGGAATTCTAATGTTCACATCCTATTAACAATTTGATCGTGTACAGTCGCTATAAATCGATGGTAAACATTTTCATAGAGACTTGACGCCAATATTCCTTTTCTTTTTTTTATAATACCAAGTGACGGGACGAACCAGTCATGCGTCTGGTCTATCCATAACAGTTGCAGCGCCACTCAGAGCTTTTAATCGCAAACATCTAACGAGCACTGCCAGTGCGCCCGTCAACCTGAGACATAAGTTGACAAGTCCTATGTGCCTGTAATTTCACCAGCATTTTGAATAGGGTGCATTTATATGTACTACATTTGTGAATGTTTTAGTAACAGTATTTTTCGCTAACGGTTGAAAGAAAACATCGTAATGACACCTGTGAATGTGGAAGAAGGTTCACAATCCTTTGAAAGCAAGTGAAGTTCCTAAGCCGTATTGCGCCAGGGTAGTGCGCTATAGTCTAAATCTTCCCTTTAGAGTCCACGCGTACCTAAATGAATGATGATGAACAGGATATATCTGTGACTCTAGTGGAAAGGGACAAGTAAAAAACCCAACTTTACAAGGATTTGATAGATATGATATTAAGCGTTAAGTGTTTTTCGCGTTTCCTTGTAAAGTTGACTTTTTTTACTTGTACCTCTTTTCACAAGAGCCACAGATATTATACCGGTGTTTCTTTGAAATCATTCAGTTTTGCTTTTCTATAATTAAAATAAAATGCAATGCGCTACACAGGTTGTTAAATACAATTTCGCCACGACAGACGTACGTGCAAATGGTTATCTTTAAAAATAATTTGCATTCGGATATATTTATCACGGTTATAAAAATGTAAATAAATATACGCTCGTACTGGTAAGCTGGTATTGTCATCGACTGTACAGTATCGTGTCCATTGATGTCTTCCAGATTCAAATCGAGATAATCGGTGACAAAAATTACATGGATTCGTGGGCGCGTGTGATCGTCTCTCGTGATAACAAATTGTATGGTGTAGAGCTCTATTATATTTGACAATAAACGTATTGTATCATTACCAACAACAACGGTACTATCACATGTTTTTAGAAATGTTCCAGTGATACGATTAAAAATAAAATGTTTGTTATCAATACAAATGTAGGCTTCATGCCATTTCAAAATCTATGCAAAGATTTTTATTATCTTGAAGAATTTGTAGAAAGATCCCGTTAATACAGAAACTAGATTGTTTATGGCCGTGTCATTTTTATCTACATCATCGGCATCATCAAATTTCTCTTTGTTTTTCTTGTCGTTTGATTCCTGCGCTTGCATCTTTCTTTTAATACTCATCCATTTACTACCGTTATATTGAACTTGGTCTTTGACTATATCAAGATTTGCAAATGTATCCTTTAGGTATAAAAAGGGCTACTAAAATCTAATAACAAAAATGTTTACCTACTTTATATCTTAGATTCTCACAAGCGTGTACCAACTGTAGGTCTCTTAAATGATGACGAAATACTTCTATTCCTTTTTCATGATATCACTTGATAACATTTAACTACCAATAACAGTTGCAGTGGAACTCAATGCTTTAAATCGCTTCGATCGATAAAAACTCCTTCGATCCAGCTGAATTCGAACTAACGTCTTCTAGCAAACCGTACCAGACCCTATGCCACCTAAGCCACGGAACGAACCAACGGACTAACCATTTTTTAATTTTTTTTTTCAATATTTTTTTCTAAGTGTTCGATTTTTGTGTTAATAACATCTGGAAATTTTAATTAATATAGTGAAAGGCGACATCTCTCGCCAGGACTGGTAGCTGTAAAGGTACTAACTGGGTGATAAATCTGTCATAGATTTCTCATAGATGGCGCTACGACTAAAAAGTCATTGAAAGACCAAGTACAAAGACACGACGCAAGCACATAGAAAAATTCGTGAGGTCCGTTGATTCGTTCCGTGGCTTAGTTGGTATAGCGTCTGGCACGGTATGCAAGAAGACGTCGGTTCGAATCCGACCGGATCGAAGGAATTTTTTCTGAGTGTTTTTTCTGTGTTCGATCTTTGTATTAATAATTATAACAAACTAGTGGAGTAATTTCACAAAAAATAATTGAATATCAATTCAATAAAAATTTAATTAACATCTGGAAAGTTACCAAAAATGCAAGTTATGACAGGGAGGGCAAACATGGTGGAATGTCGTCAAATCCTTTTCTCAGAAGCATCCAGCAGAGAAAAATTTCAAAATGGTAATTACACTGTGTTAGGCAAACAAAAACTCTTGTTCATCTTCGAGATTAAACTACCAATGAATACGGCCCCGAAAGATTCTATGAGATAAAGATCTATCAAATCGTAGGGTTGGTTTTGAGATGTAAATTACGTCGCTTTCTAATGTAAACTGGGATTGGAATTTAAATTAACTTTTCACTGGATATTAGGAATTTGAAATGCATTGGTACCAACTTAATGCAGTGCTGATCAATAACATCTCTATGAACTTTATTGTATTTATACTAAAAGCATTTTATAATGAAATTTCATCAGTATGCCTCATTACGTTAACATTGTGTATTTTATTTTATATGGGAAACCACAGCCTTAATTTAATTTTAAGCTTAACATATTTTTAGCCATTTTCGATTAGGCCAATTACAATTATTCACTGAAATAATTATTGTTAGTGGGCGTTTGGAAATGAAACTGTTTTTTCGGATTTAAATCGGTATATATAGTCTTATTATAGTACACATCTCTGCAAATTTCAACACTGTTTTATTCGTTATAGAGTCCATTGTATTCTGGGCGCGGAAGTATTTAGTTTTTATTATCAAAATTGTAAATTAAATTAAATACAACAAGCATTCGCTTCAAATTAATTATATTTATACGAAATATTGACAATAATTTAAAAGACTTGCTAGAAGCGTGGCGGTCACGGCAAACCCTTTTTTTAAAAGAGACTTCTAGTCAGTCACTACAATGGATCTTATGAGGTATTTTAAATGAAACTATTTTTCTATGTACTATCGCGTACTTGTTTTTTTTTCTCCGGCACTTGTAAATTGATTTCGACGATTTTTTAGTTAGAAAGGGGGTATCTCAGTATTAATTTCATTTAAATTTTGAAGAAAAGATTCCACCTACAAGAGTGGCAAGTTACCGTTTCACGCACTTTCCGGTAACGGATTTCAATAAGACCTGGCAAACAGATGTAATCCATGAACTTTTGAGTTTGGTTTTTTATTCTTTCTTCGCTAACATTAAATATAATTCCTTTTGGCTACAGAGTAATCAGGTAAAAATGTATACAAAACAAGTCATAAAACAGACCTAGTTAAATGTAACTCAATCTTGTAATCCCTCTTATGAATTCATTCAACAGTTCCCTTTACATTATGCCACCGATCGATCTTTCATTTCGAAACCTATCGACTACGTTTACACCACCCGATACAGCTACGATTTGTGTATTCAATTTGAGAAATAGGCAGGCGGAATGCCTTATTCAGAGTTTGTCTTACAACGTTTTTTCAACAATCAATCTACTGTGGCATGTATTTTCATTTTTAAGTGAGTTTTAATTATAATTGTACACCTCATCGTTCACGACTTATTATTAAAAATCGTATATTAAGGTCTGAAGGCATAAATATACTTAAAATTTTGCAATAGACAGAGCAAAT